CCGTGTTCGTGAACGTCTCCAAAGGCCAGGTCGCTAAGAAGGAAGACCTCATCAGTGCTTTCGGCACCGACGATCAAACAGAAATCTGCAAGCAGGTGGGTCCCCAGGGCCTGACTCCCGCGGCAGTCCCTGGGCCAGGTACTTGGAGGGGTGCCCAGCGTTAGTATTGCTGTCTTTAAAGGGAAAGGTTGTGCACAAGAACGTGGGTCTCAGGCCGTTGCTGTGTTCAGTGCTGGGCATTGAACCCAGGGGCGCTCTCCTACCCAGCTGCATCCACAGCACTTTTTGTTTTTTGAGATAGGGTCTTGCTGAGTTGCTGAGGTTGGCCTGAAAATGTGGTCCTCCTCCCTCTGCCTCCCAAGCCCCCGGGTTACAGGTGTGCACCATCACATTCACTGCCTTTTTGTTGAGACAGGATCTCACTTGCTCAGGTTGGCCTTAAGATCCTTCTGCCTCAGTTTCCCACGTTCCTGGGATTACAGGAATCCGCTGCACCTGGAACTCGTTTTTAGTAATACAGAATAGGAATGCTTTTTGCCAGAAGTTCCAAAAATTAGGTATTGTGATAATTCCCTCATTTTTCCCAGTTATTTTTTTTTCAAGTGTGGCATGCCTGAAATATCTAATTTTTTCTACGAAATTGCCCTTTTCTATTTCTCTACCCTGTCCTAAATAAGTGAGCACACCTTGAAATCCAGTGTATGGTTAGGCAAAGCTCAAATCAATTCCTGAATGTCAGCTGGAGAAGATGAAATTCAATGTTATTAATTCTTTTTTTTTAAGAGGGTTTTTTAAAATGTGTTTTTTTTTTTTTTTTTTTTTTTGGTTTCAGGTGGACACAATATCTTTATTTTTATGTGGTGCTGAGAACTGAACCCAGTGCCTCATGCATGCTAGGCAAGTGCCACTACCATTTGAGCCACATCTCCAGCCCCAATGTTATTAATTCTTGTGGTCAGTTAACAAGGAGTGTGCAGTAAAGAAAGATATCCCTTTTCTCCTCTCTTCCCAGTACTCAGGACCTGGTACATGCCACTGAGCAGTCCCTGCTCACGACCCCCACCCCTTTTTTTTTGAGTTAGAGTCCCACTAAGTGCCCTGACAGACCTCAAGCTTGGACTCTTGTGGCCTCAGCTTCCTAGTAGCTGAGATTACATGTGTGCACTACCATGCCTAGCTTGCTTTCTTAAACTTGTTTTATTTTTAGATTTTGACTAAAGGAGAGGTTCAGGTATCTGATAAAGAAAGGCACACACAGCTGGAACAGATGTTTAGGGACATTGCAACCATCGTGGCAGAC